CGAGAAAAAAGTCGAGAAAAAGTCGGGAAAAAAACTTAAAGGCGAGAAAAAAGTGGAGACAGAAAAAACTGAGCGCAAAATTTGAATGGCACTTACTGGGCTCCGTAGAAATGTGTTTTGGTCAAACAACCATTAAGCATATTAAGCACAAAAACCATTGTAGCGTCTACTTTATATTTATATGTAGCTACACGCACTTATAAGGCGAATTTTCCAAACCATCTTCTGCTCGTGAAATCCGTAAAATCGTGATAAAACTTACTTAAATTGCGGCCTTAGACAGGCCTTATATTTCTGCCATTTTATTTCTCAGTGAAAGGAAATGGCTAAAGAAATAAAAAATAGGACTCACTGTACTCTTTAGAAAAAGGGCAGAAAACTGCCTACCCGCAGGAATACATGAAGAGCACAATCTGCATTCTTTCCTATTTTCAAGCAAGTTCCGGGCCCGAGTGGGGAAAAGGGTACTTGAAAAGATGGCCCAACTACCACTCCCCTGAGCCAACTTTAACACTTACTTCTCACTTAGGGCAAAACGATGGCTTTGGGGAGGGGTAGGTGGTCAGTTTCCCAAAAACGGGGTTAGGGTTAGGGTCCCGGGCGCCAAATGTGAACTTAACCTTCGCAGTTCGCCAATAGCCCACGTTCGATATAGTAAAATTCTAACATGACTCTGAGGGGCTCCGAGGCTTCCTGGTCATTTTTTTTTTAATTTGGCTTGGTTTTCTTTGTGCTTAAGTCTCCTTTGAGAATCGCGAGACAATAGAGTGGTTATTCCTACAGAAGGTCCCTAACTCCAATTTACATGCACCTGTATGCACTTTGCTAGAATACCACCTGATTCTTCCGACAGTTCCTCCACCTTAGGCGTGCACGGGGAGAAAGCAGCCACGCACTTATAAAACTTCCCCGCAGGCTACTTGTTATCTCTCTCGAGTGGGCGAACAGACGAGCAAGTTATTGCCCTACCAACATACCACCGGGTTTTTGAACAAAGCATAGAATCAGAGAAGACTAAGGATAAACACAGAAGAAATCAAAGACACAGGACAACAGAACTAAAAAGTAAGCTGATTTCTTTATTGAAATTGTAATATAAAACATGATGTAATTGAAATGAAATGAAATGACATATATATATATATATATATATATNCAGGCTACGAGTGGTCCGAACGAGCGCATCGTATTATAAAAAGCTCGCGCTCCACGTCACGCGAGTTCTTTAAAACCAGATATATGGAAGAAGTTCACACAAGGATTGCTAGTATGAAAAACCCGTTTACAGTCGTTCATGTGTGAAGTCATAGAACTTGACCCATAAGTTTTTATGCGTTTACACTTGACGAACTTAGTCCAGTTTTCCACAGGTTTTACGTTTCTTGAGGACATCCAAAAACGGTAGCCGTTGTTGAAATTTTGAATTTGAAAGAAGACCTAACTAATGATTCTAATCAACTTATGCCCACTGTAAAATTACGTCCTTTAATTTGTCCATACTTATGTTTGCTCCGCAAGAAATTATCACCGCGTTTTGCCCTCTGAATTTCTCGTGTTCTTTCAAAAATGCTGCTAAGGCCACTCCTGCCGCTCCTTCGACAATCTGATAAAAGGTTACAGAAAAATAGACATTAAACAAGCAGAAAACCTAACCATTTGGGTCATTCAGTCTATAAAGTATGAGTAGACTCTCTCGTGGGGAATATAGTGGGATGAAAAGAAGACCAGAAACAGAAAAATGCCAGCAGGCGGAGAGAGGAAATTACTATTAAGGATTGAGGGAGCTGTGTCATGAGTTTTTGGAATTACTTTAAAAAACCTAAAACCACATTGGAGTCAAATAAACCTCTGAATAATGGTTTAGTTTTATTTAGAATTACACGTATAGAATATTTCAGCTATTAGTGTGTCTTTAGTAGCAGTCTCTATAACTTCAATCGGCGACAAAATAGCTGAAACATTATCCTCAAATGGGGGTAACTTCGGAGAACAAAAACAATCCTCACCCCTCCCCCTTACCCTTACTTCAAAGTTGGGTCTTTGTTGTTTTCCAGAGGAAGCTCGAACAGCGGCACAATATTACATGGAGGGGGTGGGAGAGGAAAAGTTTTATTTTCCCCTTTTATAGTTGGCAAAACCGAAAAGAGGCTCTTTAGGGCAAAGTGTCTCAAAGTGTTGTTAGATAACTTACGTACCTTATGGTGATTTTCCATGAACAGGTACACAGCTTTGCTAATTTCCTCCTCTGTTACCAGAATCCACTCATCAACGAGAGATTTGCAAAGATCAAACGTCACCTGACAGCATGAAACAAAAGCTATGGTAACTATGCGTGACTGAACAAGCCTGAGGCCCGACGATGGTAGGATAAGTTGGTCAAGTTCTTGTGTGTAGGTGTGTATTCTTTGTCGTTGTAGTCCAGTCTACGGTCTCGATTTTCGAATGTTCTAAAAACCGGAGCATCAAAACACATGAACACCCCAGAACACTCCGGAACACTCAGGAATACGCCTTCACCCAAAAACCTGGCAGTAGTGTATATGTAAAATGAAAAATAGAAACCCTAACCCTGATCTGTTAGGTGTCCTGGGATGTTCGGGTGTCCCGGGGTTTAGTTCATGCGCCAGATTTTGATTTTTCACATGATGGGTATGGCCCATGAGATTTCAACTGCAGAAAAATTCGCCTGTATTTTACAAACTGTTAAAAATTAACTGGAATTTATAATTGGCATGAAATTGAAAACAGTGTGAGTTCACGTTTTAAGTGACGTTTTTGCTGCCCTCGCCGTCGCAGTTGCGTAAGCTCTCTAAAGTTAGTCAATAGATTACGCTGACGGTTTGTATGTTACACTAAACAAATTTACATAGACCAACGGTGGTTATATTAACGGATCTCCACTGCAATGTGGTTATCATCATTACTCATACCGAGTCTTCCTCCACTCCACCAGCTGTACCGTCTGAAAGCGTGTTGCCTGATGGCAGATCCAAAATTTTCCCCGCCTGCACGGATGCTGACATCACGGCAGACTGAGACGGCTGACAGCCAATAATCTACGTAGAAATATAAGCAAAAGAAAAAAAGCTCTTTTTGAGTTCTTTTGAGGGCCGCACTAAAATTAATAGCACCTACATGTATTCGTGAAGTGAGTTGAAGTGGGCGCCCTACTAAAATACTATTGTTAATTACTATTGTTTTTGTTGTTATTATTTTTTGTTTTTAATATTATCACCATTATTATTATTATTATTATTATTTTACAAGAGAATCAAGATGATTGCTTTGTTTTTAGGTGATGTGATTCAAAAGATTGCACGTGACTCTTTTTCAAGCAATCAAAAGTAAAATGAACCGTTGTCGCTTCCCTTAACGGTGATGTTACACGGGATGATAGGCAACGACTAATTTTTAGCGCAACATAACGATGCAATGTTGGAACAAGGTTGCAATCATTCAAAACAATATCGCAACAATATTGCAACGCTGTGTTGCGCTAAAAATCGTTGTTACGAATTGTTTCGTGTAACATCACCTTAATGTCAACTGCCAAGTACTAGAATGTGCACATGAGTTCTTATTTTTCGGCTATTCAACTGTGTTGATTTGGCTTACAAAGCTACAACCTTGGCCACAATTGTTGAGGCACATTAGAAAAATACATATTTTTCCTGTGAAAATGACAGAAATGCAAACTGTCGTCAAATAAGTGACCGTTTTCCTGGTTTACGGTCATCTCGCCACCAAACCATTTCGTGGCCAGTTGGTTGGCGGTGAGTCGACTTTTCGGTAGCAAATACGTTGGTGGCGAGAGAGTTTGGTGGCGAGATGGCCGGTTACCGTTTTCCTCCCCTACCCTTTTTGTTCTGACTGTTGTCTAGGGTAACAGCAGAATTACACACATTACTTTTAAGACAAAAACAACATTGAATAGGCGGTCAGCAGCCAGGGCGCTTGCTTTGTTCTGCTAGGCAATGGTGGCATGGTACTAAATTAGAAAATAGATGGAACAAGTCTCAAGCATTTTGTCCAAAGTTGCAAAGCCACACAAAGACATCTTGCTCTCCTGCTTACCTTAACTGTGGGTTTAACAGCCTTCAGATAAGTAGCTATACCTCCTACCAGCCCCCCTCCACCAACGGCAACAAAAACTGCATCAACATCTGGCAAATCTTGAAAAATCTCCACCCTGCAATGAACAAGTAGAGCGGTTTTGACAAAATGATTTGGCTCTAGTTTTGCAGCGCCAGCCTTGTAACCAGTGAGGCTGAGTGGTTAGCACGTCAGACTCGCAATCTAGTGGTCCTGGGTTCAACTCCACGCTCAGGCCACTAGCAGGATTTGTTCTGTGTTGTCCCAAGTTGATTAAAACCCTTGGCCATTCTTGTCAGTAGCCAACTGGTTGCCTTCTGCTAGTTGGGTTTTTTTTTATCCTGTTTGCAGTTATGTTATATTTGAATTACTTATTTTCAATTATTTAAATGGAGTGCTTGTAAACTAGCTGGATAAGGGCTGGTTTTCACAAACGATGGAGTCTGAGTTGGAGTCGTAAGCTGAGTCATAGTAATAAGCTGAGTCATAAGTGTGATGGAATTGGAGCCAGAAGAATCAGAATGTTTCCATTTTTTTCTGACTCCATTTCCGACTCCATTGCTTACATTCTGCTTATGATCTGGTGAAAACCAGATAGTCAGAGTCAGAAGCAGAACCAGAAGGATAAACCAATCACAATGCATGTTCCCACACTTTGTGATTGGTTTAGTTCTTACACTTCTCCTTGCGACTCTGACAACCCAGTTTTCACTTGATCGTAAACGACAAAGTCATAAATGGAATCAGAAGAATCAGAATGCTCTACACTTCTGATTGCAACTCCAACTCTGACTACATAACTAGTGAAAACCAGCCTTAAGCTATAAAACTGCACTTTCCACTATAAACAATAAGCCTTTAACCTTTTTTTCCCTCTCTTCTTCCCTACCCCTGTTCGCTCCATGACCCAGGGAGAAACATTGTCACAGTACTACAGCTGTACCCCAAGTGAATGGCTAAAAGATTTCACACCACTCTCTCGACCAATCAGGAGTACTCACAAAATTGCAACAGGTCATTTCCAAGTTGCTCCAAGCCTTTTTTCTAAAAATGAGGGTAGCAGTAAGTATAGCCTCCCACGCGGATGTTCTTAGGGGTTAGCATGTATTTCTGCCCCACGGCGAACCCCTAAGAATGTCTGCGTGGGAGGCTAAGGTAAGTAGGAAGTCTTTGATATGATATTTTTTAGCTGACAGGCAAATAGCCTGTTCCAAGTGTTCAGATAGCAGAGAGCGGTGCAAAGTAAAGAAAGCGATTGCACCGCTCCCCACTATCTGAACGCCTGGAACAGGCTAAAATTATGAACCTCATTGACAAGCGAAAGGTTTAACACTTGGCCTTGCTTTGAAGTTGAGGGGTTTGGAAAAATACTCTTAAATGGCTTACTGCATGATCCTAAAAGTTTTATTTTTGCATTACATTTAGATTAAAGGTTTATATTTACCCAATGGTTCCTTGTCCAGAAACAACAACTAGGTCATTATAAGGAGACATATAATGTATATTTCTTTCCTGAAACAAGAAAAGGAAACACAGTCATGAATTTTGAAATGGTATAATTTTTATTGTCTCATGTGAAGGCTTGTAAGCATATGCGAAGGATCTGCAGGATCCTACCATTGCAGTTTGGTATGTAGGGGTTAGAGCCAAATAGCTCCAAATTCAACTTTTTTTCAAAGTCACCTTTTGGAACTCAAAATTATCAAATGATCACTAGATAAGACAACATTGGTCAATAGACAGAAAAAGACAATTTGTGCAATGCTACTGTCAGGATTAAAATAATCAAAAAACGGCTGTGCACATCATAACATCTCGATACAAGGTCTTATTAAACAGAAAACTACAGTGCATAGTATTTAAAAGAAAAAAAGTAGAACTTCGATATAACAAAGGGTCAAGGGACTGGCAAAATTTGTTCGCTATAATGAGGTTTCGTCATATTGGTTCTTTTTCATACATTTTATTATTACTGGGGTAAGAAAACTGTTCATTACACCGAGGTTCCATTGTACATGCAAGCTTTAGAAATACCATAAACATGACTAAAAACACAAAGGATGCCAGATTGGTGAACTAGTGCCACAATTTTAGACACCAAAATATTTTTTCCATTAGCCATGTTGAGCAAACTGGTCATGGCAAGAATAGCTGCATTGTAGGGATTGTTGCAAGAAAATAATAACTATGGTCGCCATTGGTATGTCAGTATGGTCTAGACAGGTTATTTCTTGCAAAAAATCATTTCTTTATTTCATTAAAAGCAAACTAATAGACTTTTACCTTAGAGACAGACCTTGCTTTCACTTCGGCTTCAACACAGTCCTCTCCATGAAAGCTCACAGACCCACCAAGCTGTTTCACAGCCTTAATCTTGGCAGGAGAAGTGGTCTGGGGAACGTATATTGTAACAGGAACACCAACTTTATTAGCAGCATATGCCTGCAACAGAAGACAGAAAGAAAAACTCTTTCCCTAAGTTTCAAACACCATCCAGATTTTTTTTCTTCAGTGATTATCCCTGATATTTGAGAAGAGCTGTTTATTTGAAAAAAGGGATGTTAGTTTTGCTATTTAAATTTTGGTGTGTTCAGACAAACACAAAAATGGTAGCAACCAGCCTTTTTGCAGGCCAGGTTCCACCTAATCTGAAATTAATCAGTCAAGAAAGATTAATTTTAGCAGCAATTCAGAAAGTATTGGCATGTCAGGTGAAGAAGAACAATTTTTTCTTAGGGTCTCATTTGACATTCTTTTGGCAGCTGGTTATCAAGCAACAGGTGTCAAAGTTATTTTAAATCAAAACGTCAAAAGCATCATCGACAATACGAGAACAACACGGCTTTGCTGCAAACCATCAGTATCAAAAGAAAAAAATATCCTCTGGAACCCAGGGTAAACTTACAGTGGCTGCTCCATGATTTCCAGTGGAGGCTGTTATGATCCCTTTGCTTAGAAATGAATTGTCATTTGATTCTTTGAGACTGAGAAGTTTGTTAAAAGCTCCTCTGAGTTTGAAGGAACCTGTTGTTTGCTCACTCTCTGTAAAATAAGTGAAAAAAATCTAAAAAAATTGGAAACAATTTTTAATTCCTGGTCCTAATTATAATAATATTAAAGAATCAGTGTTGCTTAGACTATAATAGGTGATTCCAATAATTTTAATCTAAATTTTGATTTGATATTATAGGTGTTTTAATTCAGAAAAAACACTTTCACATTCTTATAAAACAAACTCTTGATGCCGCTTATTATAGCTTTGAGGCTAATATACCTGCCAACTAGCCTCATACCTGCAAATCTAAACTTTGATCTCACAGGTCTGTCAATTCTCCCAGATAATCCGGGAGACTCCAGATTTTGAACCGTTTCTCCCGGTCTCCAAATTAGAGTCTGAAATCTCCTGGATAATCGCCGAAGTTTGCCATTTCTTGTATATTCGACTTTAAAGCAATGAAATTTCAAATATTTTGCGTTCTTTGAGCTATTTTTCTGTTAACACTGACCATTTCCTCACAAACTTCCATATGCCATCGTAATATAAGGAATAATGTGATTGGTGGAAGTAAACCAATTTGGTCAAATGTTACAATTATTCTAACAACATCTTTTTCACGCTTTTTTTAAAATGACGTCATACACTGTGCATTATGACGTCATCTATCTCAATATTTGAAGACATGGGGGATTGACAGCCCTGATCTCATGCCATACGAGTTCACATAATTATAGCCTTCGACATCCCAGTTCTCATGACTGGCGGAAAAATTGAGCTACAGTGCTAGAGCCTTTAACTGACATATTTTCGAGATATTTTTACAGCAAAATACAGAAAATATACCAGAATAAATTCGAGAAAAGAAAAGGATACTTGAATGATCATTAATTAACTAATTTATTTACAATGTATTTACATTCCCTGAATTCTCACTAACGAACTTCGGAACTCCCCTGGCCTCCGGTGGTCGCAGCCAAATGCTTTGCTGATCAAATCGTGACACTCACCTAGTTTTACATATACCCTTGCGTTTCCTGCTTCACTAAGCCAGTAAGAAATTTCTAAAGGGGTTCTTCTGACGAAAGGCTTTATTCGATCAGCTGCACGTAGAATAACGTCGGCTGACAGTAAAGACATGCTGCTCAAAAATACAGTAGCCAGCAGAAACCAGCAGGCGGCTTTCTCCGTGGTCGAGAATGGACTGGGAAGTAACCCTCTGACGTCAGACGAAAAATATGTCGCTGAATTTGCGAGGTTTGGGGCACTGGGAACTAACACTCATTTAAAGATGGTGGGCGGAACAAATGTTGGTGGGCGGCGGAAGGCATGGTTGTTTTTCTCCCGTTTTTCCTTTACATTACAAGGTTGGTAGCGTTGGTAGGTAGATTAGACAGTGAAAAATGTATTATTTATCTTTTAAAACAGTTTTAGATGTGCTGGTGATAATAGTTTGCTATGCATTTGGTGAGATCTTGCCACTCAGATCACCCACTTAGCTCTAGTTGGTGACAGGACTCTGTGACTCTGTGGAAAGTTTTCAACGCTTTGATTTTTTCAAGGGCAAATTGGAGCGTTTTCTGCGGCGTATGGAGGGTTTATTTGCAATTTGGCTTTTATTAAAGTCTTATTAAAAGTGCAATAATGATGAAGCTAAATATTGTATGCTTAGTAGCCAGGCCTTTGACTGGGGGTGGATTTTGGAGGATGAAGTTGAACAAAAACGGAGAGCTGCGTCGTTGAACCTCTTCTCTTTTTGATGGCCGCATTTTTATTTTTATATTTATTATTTTTGGAGGGGAGTTGGAATTACAGTATACCCTTCTCACCTCTACATTTTACTTTTCACATAAGTACATGTATTCCCAGTAGTGTCTTAACCCCCTCGCAAAAAATAAAGAGAAATTTATATCTAGTAAAGCTCTAATAATGATTCCAAAAATATTATTGGAGAGAAGGATTGAAATGTCCATTAAAGGGGGCGGGGGGGTGCCTTGTATTCTCTGGGTGCTCAAGGGGGTGGGGCAGGGGGTTGATGCTGGTTTCATCGATCAATGTATTCCTTTGAACAAATAGAAATTAGAGACTTACAATTCTCTTATTTTACTTTTTGATAAGAGGCTTAAGCTAACAATGTGTCATTTCCACTGAGCATTGAAAGGGCGAAGTTTCCTGTCATGTAATACTCCAAAAAAAATCTTTGTTCCTTTAATTCATACCTCTCTTTGCCTGAAGCTTTATGAGGTTATGCAAGACACATAATTTATAGTACCGTAGTTTGGGGGTCTAAGGGGGTCTTTGGTTTCATGACACTGTAAATGCGTGGTATATATATCTGGAGTTATGTTACATAATAGAGCGGTTTTCATTTGAGTGTCGAAAAGTAATTGGTTTTGCACTTTCTACACGATGCGATTGGCTTAAAAGATTCGCGCCACCTTTTCATCCAATCAGAAGTAAAACCAAAGCCAATTGTGACGCGCTCGCATGCATTTTCCCGCACTTTGCGTCAGCCACATGTAATTACTTCGAGTTTTGATTGGTTCAATGTATTGTCTGTGTCCCATGTGATTGGCCAGAGTAATTACTTTGGTTTTGGTTTTACGACACTCAAACGAAAACCACTCTAAAGAGTGATATTGTTGTCTTTTGATACATACCCTGCTGGGAAGGTTCTTTTAAAAATATTGATCATAAACTAAAGTTATATCCAAAATATCTTTGTCAAACAGTTTTGGGGTGTTTGATCACTGATGAAGATGATTGATTTTTCATTTTTAGATCAGTTGTGTCCTGCAGATGTGTCAAGACTTTAACAGACAGGATTTTGAGCTTATCAAGTAAGTGCTGTATAATATATTGCTTTGTACCATATTCCAGCTCTTGAGTAAACCAGATACACTAAACTGCTGGTACAGCTTGTCAAAAGTAAGATTTGGGTACAGTTTCATTAGCCAGCTTTTGTGGCCATACCTTCCAGCTAATTTAACACAAAATACAGAACTGTTTCGATCTAATGTATCTGCTGTAGTTATTTTTTATCTCAGGTTATTTTTATTTTTCTTTTGTTTCAACTTCATTAACATACATTACCATACCCAAAAACAGAAGAAAAAGAAAAATTGCCTGAGACAAAAAATTAACTAAAACATATCTGTAAAACGAGAGATACATAAGTGAAGGAAAAAGATATTTGAGTGACTTGTCTTCTTTTAGATCTCAATGTTTGGGAAACTGTTTCTTGTTTACTACTGAGGTTAAGACAGAGATTCATTAAAATTTTCAGACTCAAAGGAAGAATATTACACATTTTTGCTCAATTTTTTAAATGTACATGTATTTATCGAAATCATATACACTGTAAATGTGTTCTGTGATCTTTTCATGCAAGACACTGCTAAGAGCTCTAGAACAGTTTGAGGCCAAAGTGTACATTTCTTTCTAACAAGTCGGTGGATGTGCAAGTCTGTGGGACTTAAATTTTTTTTATTGTTTGCAACTCATTTATTTATAGTAAACATCTATTTCTTCAAAACATTCCCTAATAGAATCATTTTAAACAGTGCATTCTTCACTGTAAGACATTGACATGAGCTACAGTACAAGAGGCATGGACAATACATTTGGGAAATAAATAAATGAATAAATATGATTTTAGGGTTCATAAAATCAGTGTCATGTAAATACATATATTTGCCATTGAAATTATTGTTGACGGCTGTAGAAAAAAAAAACTTGTCTTCCCACTACAAATTTAGTTAATTTATTTAATAAATTTTAATGGCCTCCATGACATGAATCAAGATTATTGATTTAACTGATGAAGATGACCGATTTTTCATTTCAGGTTAGATCTGTCCAGCAGATGACATGTCAAGACTTCAACAGCCACTGGATTTTGAGCTTGTAGCTGTATAATTATTCATTACTGTAAGTGCTGTACATTTTGCTTTGTAATCCAGCTCTTAAGTGAACCAGATACAATAGTGTAATATATAAATTGAACTGGTGCAGCTTGTTTAAAATAAGATTGAGGTACAGTTTTATCAGATTTTCAGTGACCATACCTGGCCTAATTTAAGGTTAATTTTTCCAAATTAATGCAGAAAATGAGTATTGTCAATGTTTTACATTCAAAAGATGCGATAAATTCAAACTAAGATGTACTAGTCATGGAGGTATGTATAGTGCGCATTATTTTTGAAAAAATTAGCATAACGTCAAAACAGTGAATGTTGTAACACAGATTTTTGACCGGTTCGTGGGATAGGTTTGTCTTTAAATTTTAAGGTGTTTCAGTGAATCAATCTTAATGAAAGTTTCAGACATTTTTATATGCATATGAAGATTTTGTGAAGAGATTTCAAAATAATTTGTTCGAGTCATTTCGGAGATATACAAGAAAGCGCTAAAAGTCCAAATTCTGAATGAAGTTGCACTTATACAGGTGGTGAGAAAACAGGCTAGTTTTCAAGATCACAAGAACGAAAGTACACCAAAATTTCCTAGCATCATTAAGCAGCATTCTGACGCTACACTAAACAATAATTGAGTTATTTCTAATGTTTTTATTAAGTAATCTATCACGGCTATTGAAAATTTAAGGTTTGAAATATATTTTCGTTTTAGTCGAATTCAAACATACAGAATTTTTTACTTCTTACGGAGATCGTTTGCCAAACAGCAAAGTTTAAGTTCCTAGTGTTGGATTTTCAGTAGCAGGTCTAGATCACACAAAATTCGGCTTTCATCAATTTCAAAGTTTTTTGTTTATTGTTGTCATAGTAATATCGATTTTACTTAAAACTACATTTCACAAATTTCAATCCATAGCCAATTTCTGGTGAAAATTTTATAGCGATCGGACAAGGAAATTAAAACCACTTTTAAGGCGATTGAAAAATATCGGTATGGCCCCTGAAAAACCGTCTTGAAACACCTTAACACAAAATTCACAACTGTTTTAAATTTAATGTATCTGTAAAACAAGAGATACATTAGTGAAGGAAAAAACACAACTTGACTGACTTGACTTGTTCTTGATATTAATATTTGGCAAGATGTTTCTTGTTTGCCTGAGAAATTGAACAAAATTTTCGGACTCAAACGAAAACAATTTTTGTTAAAAATATTGCTTGTATTTTCTCAATGTATTTATTGAAATTAAATGATCGTTTGTTTTGATCTTTTCAAGAAAGACAGCGAAAAGCTCTAGAAATTAAGGGCAGTTTTTGGCCTTAGTTTCGTTAAATGTACATTTTGGCCGGAAACTGCCCTTAATTCCAACAAGTAGCAAGAGACTAAAAAAAAAGTGTTTATTTTCAAATTTATCATTGAAATGACAGTGTAATTTTGCATTATTGACTGATAGCGTTATTATAAGGACTTTGGTTTGTTTATTTTTTTGTTTCAAGCTTTAAGGTTCAAATAATAATACATGTGCCCAGTTAAAATCAAATCTTAATTATTTAGAGGTTTTTTTTCTGACAAATGGCAATTTGTCCCTAAAAGTAGAAGACAAGATGTGCTTTTAACATGCTGTCCCTCAATGTTATAATATAACGCCAGTTATGCTTTTAGTCAGTGATTTTGTTTCAAATAGTTATGGTGAGTCCTGGGACTGATCTTGTGAAAAATTGTGAGTCCCTGTCCATAACCAATGAGTCTCAGGTGAAAATCAAAGGCTCCTAGGAGCGAGCTCGTGGATGAATTGAATTAGTGTAGAAAAGACAGTTCAATAATCAAAGAAAAACATATAAATCTTTTTGAACGGTTCATTGTGTACGGACTTGCCAAAATACAGCGTGACTTGAAGTATTCGATTGCATGTGCACCTGAATATTCTAAAAACTTGTTATCAGCACAGCATTTCTACTTACAAAGCAAAAGTCACTTTTAAAAGCAATTATTAATGCTTTTTAGTTGTAAAATAATTTGCTTTCTCATGTGACTGTCAAACACTTTCCGAACGACAGTGCACTTTCTTGTAAAATAGCCAAGTTTTACATACACGAGTTTTATTTAAACTGTGGTTTCAAATGTGCAATGCTTTCAAATAAATGTTTCTATATGATGCGTACGTAACAGTTAGTATATGCAGTACGAGCTATATTAAATACAGAATACAGGCGTTTATGGCT